TCACTCCGTGTAACCTTGTAAATCTGCCGCCACACCCAGCTCCAGCTCTGCTGTGTTAGAGCCTTTGAGCACTCTGCTACTTTTCTAGTAGTTCTCTGGCAGTACTAAGTCCAGAGAAGGAGGAAGAGAAAGAAGAGAGCCAAGTTGTCCTCTCTGATCTCCCTCCTGAGCAGGTGCCTGAACGGGAAGAGGGTGGGTGGACACGGACACACTCTCACAAACAGGGCTTTTTTTGTAGAAAAAGCCCAGCAGGAACTCATTAGCATAATGGGCCACACCAAACAGCAGAAACTCATTAGCATATTAGGTCACACCCCGACAGTGCAGCTCATTAGCATATTACACCACACCCCATGCCTTCCCTTGGCTTGCCCGGGCGCTCCGTGACTGTAAGGCGCCTGGGCAAGACGGCCCTTGGACAGGCTGGGGAAGGCATGGGGAGGCATTTAAATCCCTCCCCGATCCTTCCAGGAGGGCCCCTGCCCCGCCCGCCTCGGAGTCACTGTGGTGTGTGTTGTTCTCCAGGCCTTCCCTCTGTAGCCATGCATGCAGAGGTTTTGGCTGTAGTGGGCGTGGCCAACTGAAGTCAGCCGGAACTCTGTTCCTGTGCGTTCCTGCCCAAAAATAGTCCTGCTCACAAACACACACAGGTGGGCTGTGAGCTCAGCACGAGCTGAGAGAGGACCCCTGTCTGCACCCCCTCCCCAGGATCATGGTTCACCTTTGTCATGCTGTCCCCCCCCCACATGGCGGGAGGGAATGGGGGACTCCAGGGGCCAGGCAGGCACAGGGCCTCCGAGGACCAGCGTTCCCTCTCAGCAGAGTGAGTGTGAGCCAGCTCACAGTTTTTTAGCCTCTGGCTCACACATTTTTGTCTTAGCCCGGGAAGGAGGGCTCCAGAGCAGGCTGATTTATGCAGCAGGCAGCCCAATCGTTCACTCACAACTCTTTAATGCCAGGAGCTCCCGAAGTATAATCTTTGCTCACAAGGCTCCACAGCTGAGAGGGAGCATTGCAGGCAGTGTTCCCTCTCAGCTGAGTCATTGTGAGCCGGCTCACAGTTTCTTAGCCTCTGGCTCACCCATTTTTCCCTTCGCTCAGGAAGGAGGGCTCCAGAGCAAACTAGTCTATGCCGTAGCCAAATCGCTCCCTCGCCACTTTAATGCCAGCAGCTCATAAAGTAGGATTTTTGCTCACAAGACTCCACAACTTAGAGGGAGCATTGCCCAGGACCAATGATATGGATAGAATGGGGAACACGGAGGAGAGATGCAGGGAGCAGAGAAGCAGGGGGGGGGAGCCAACCCCCCCCAAGAGGGAACCGTCCAGAGCAAACTGCTTTATGCAGCAGCCAGGGCTGGTTCGCTCACTAGGCGAACTAGGTATTCGCCTAGAGCAGGCCGGCCCTTAGGGGAACCAAACTGCACCTGCCTCCCCGCCAAAAGCTTGGACCGACCTTCTGGTCTGCAGTTCAGCGTCTTGAGCCACCGCAGCCCCCTGAAGGTAATGGCTGCCCAAATCTAGGGGCCAGGCCAGGGGGCAACACACCTGACACTCCAAGATGTGGAGGAGGTCTGAGCATCTCAACAAAGAGCTGGGGGTGAAATGTAGGTGTTAGGCTGCTTTGATGGATCCGAGCCGGTGACACTTGAGGCTCACCAAGGCCTGGGATCCAGTTTCAGGCTGACTAGGCAGCGGTCCGATTTATGTCTGGGCGGCAGGACTGACATGATAATAATAAGAAGAGATTGGATTTATGCCCTTCACTACCCGAAGCAGTCTCAGAGCTTCAAGGACAGCTGTGCCAGAGCTTGTGACTGACCCAAGGTCACATCAGCAGGTGCAAGTGGAGGAGTAGGGAATCAAACCCGGTTCTCCCAGATTAGAGTCCGCTCATTTAACCACTACACCAAATCTGGAAAGCTGACCTGGCCCCTGTTGGTGCCCACTTTGAGGGGAGGCAAAGTTGGGGACTTTAACAGGGACAGAGCTCTGGGGAGTTTCCCATGGTGGGGGTGAGCTTGTGTTGTTTCCCTTTGCTGCTGCAGGTGCTGATCCAGCGCGGGGGCACCGGGGCATCCCAAGGGAGGGTTTCCTGTGAGTTTTCTTATTCAAGTCCAGAGCTCTGTTGGAATGGTGCTGGGATGAGCAAAAGTGGAGTCAAGGACCCTCAAGGAAATCCCCCCCCCCAATCCACAGGGCTCCAGGCTTTTCATAAGAACATAAGCTAAGCCAACGTTGTATCAGGCCAAATGGCCCGTCCAGTCCAACACTCTGTGTCACACAGTGGCCAAAAACACCAGGTGCCATCGGGAGGTCCACCAGTGGGGCCAGGACACTAGAAGCCCTCCCACTGCTGCCCCACCCAAGCGCCAAGAATAACAGAGCATCCCTTGCCCCAGACTGAGAGT